TATTCAGGCGTGAACCAAATTTGAACCCATTCTCTCGAATCACACACTAGTCTCGTTTGAATAGTCGTCGTCTTGTCCTGGCACACTCGTTCTGGTGATTTTCTGACTTACATGCAGCCGTTCGGAGTCAACGGAGGTATTGGATTAATCTCGACGTCTTAGTTTCCTCGGCCATTATGTGCCATGCAGCTCAAGGACGCTTGTGTTTTGAGCTGTGGCGATCATGCACTAGAAGGAGTCTGTTGATTCCGTTCACTCTCAATTATGCACTCTGATGTGGAATACAGGTTCATCATTTGGCCCGGTGAACCAAAATATAACTAACTATGTGTTATGGTGTACCTCAGTTATTGGCCTTACATTTTCTACCCATTAATAAGGAACAAACTGATAAAATGTGACCTAAAATTTGTCTAAATACATGCTAGGTAGACCTGTATAAAGTTAAGATTACAGAAGATGGAATTTTCAGCACTCTGAAGGAACCTCCCTTTGTTTTCTGAATGCTTGAGACTCCTGGTCATGGAATTAGCCCATGTTTTCCAATTAGGTGCATGCTGACGGTGTGTTCGGTAACAAGTGTTTATATCTTTAGTCGTAAGACTCAAATGCAAGCTGATCCGAGTGCAAATGAGATGAGTGAAAGCGACCGAGAGATGGACAGTGTATGACCTGGCAACGAAGTATGGAAACACTGACGAGTAAACTAAGTCGGGCGGGCAAATGCCGCCTCCCTGGATGGGGACTCCGAGACTCAAATTAACAGTGGTTGATGACATTGGTGGTAATGGCGCTCGTTCATCAAGACTATCACCTTCAATGTGTAGCTACCCAAATTCTGAGGGAACTGAACATGCCTTCGCCTCCAAGGCTTGGTTGTATATTTCGCGTTTCCGTTTTCCGGTGATCAGAAGTGTAGCAGCTGGAACCAATGTTCAAATGGCACACGATTTTCAATTGTTGAGGACTCTCCCGTATTTTCGTAGTTGGCTGTGAGCATCCGTACTCATCAGTCTGATCATGCACCCACCGTTTTTTCTAGCGAGCTTCCATGCCTCAGGATGGTTCAGTAGTGGTCGGTAAAATACACTGCGTGGCAATGCGTTCGGTCCCACGCATTCACGGAGGAAACGAAGTTGCAGTCGAATAGAGGCCAGTCGACATGCGAAAGTCTCACAATTTGAGTGGTATTCTTGGCAACTTAGTGATTTTTCGGGCGTCCTTTTTGGAGATACTATAGCATGAGGGCATGTGTTCTTCGTCCTTCCTCTGTCCACAGTTTCTAAATAGACCAGATTGACGAATAATTATCAAGTCATCTGCATGTTCCAGGTGGGACGTCTCCCGTGAGATGCGTGATCGCGTTAGATGAGTTCCGTGAAAAATGCATACGTAAAGCCGTATCTGGTCTGCGTCAGAGTAATCCCAAGGGTTGATTAACAGATTGCAGCGGACACGTTGAGTCTTCTGCCTCTAGCCTCAAGATGGTGGCCAAAATCCACCTAAGGGTTCAAAGGATGCACATTTATGACGGGTTTTATCCAGAACGAGCAGCTGCACAGTGGTTCCACGCTATTTGACGCACACCGGCTTCTTTCTTATTTGGGAATACATGCCTGCAACCAGCCACTGGAAGTGACAAGTAAAAGGGCTGGATATGCTTACTGAAATTCATAAGAGTATTTATTGATATCGACGGTACACAAGAGACATAAGTTCGAAATGCATTTCGTAGGTCGTTTGTGACATGGACAGCGCCATCAGGGAAACTATAACACAATCGATTATGGCGTAGTCGTCTTGTACAATAGTACATAATGGATAATTTCATGTTGGTTGTTCATGAAATTAAGATCTCTCCGAGAAGTGTCAAAACAATTCAACATTTTTCCACGCTATTCCCGTGGTGAACATACTTTCCATATCATTGCGAAGAACTTCAGATTGGAAAACACTTGTCCGACGCTGGGCAGGGCCTGCCACGCCCTTGGAACTCGCGAACTTTCTGATTAGAGGTTCTGTGTGGGGAAGCAATTCCACCTGCATCACATTATCTGCAGTGAGGTCAGCCTGATAAACGGGTCTGGTCACCTGGGGCAAGACATAACACATTCTGGACATCTGAAGTGCATTTCGTCTTGACATGCTGGCTTCGAATTACATCAAGTTGCGACCGGCAAACGCGTTTTCATGCCCGACCCCACCGAATCCGCTATATTTCTTTACCTTTGGCTTTTTAATTTCTGCGCCCATACGATTTATTCTTTGTATCTGTCATCCTCTCTTAGGTGTGTAGGATCCATCTATTGCTTAGATTTTTTGCTTGGTCAAGATCTAACTAAAATAAACGAAATCGAAGGCCTATTTCCACCATCACTTTACTCCCATGGTCCAAAGTGGTACTGGTGTTCAAATGACTTGTCTGTTGCAGTGGTAACAAGCCTTTTCCTGGTTCGAACTCACAGAGCTTTTTCATTGATTTGAATTCCCCTCCCTATTAGATAAACATGTGGTAGCTTGGTAGGGTGTCACCTGGCTGATCTCGTGTCGGTCATGTGCGCTTTTTTACGCTGCACCATGGTGTGTTCATACACACACCACTCCTCTGATATCACGGGTGATTTGCCCATCGCTCTTGTTTCTGAGCGTGGCCCTTGCTTGATTAGAATCCATAAAACAGCATTGCTGTTTTCTGTCTGTCGCTAGTGATTTGAACTTCCTTCGGTTGTCATGTATCTGGTAGCGCCACGAAATCCAAGCAGAGCACAACTGTCCTTTCGTCTGACCTTTAAAAATGAATGCTTCGGGTAGCCTGGAATGCTCTTAGTACATTCGTCTTACACGGAGTTGCACCACCCACAAGTTGAATTCATTTGCCAGAGCTAACACGCACTCGGTCGTCTTGCTCCCTGATATGTTTGCATTCAAACAACATAAGAAACTCCGTTGTGCTCTAAATACAGGTCAGTTGCTGCTAGCGTTTCCCGTTTTTTCGCCACCTACTACCCGTTGCTTGAAGCTGACAGCAGTGACTCCCCACCACAACGTGAACCACACTCAACTTTGTCTCCAGTTAACGTATAAGGTTTCAATTAACCCACAATCCCTATTCATGGACGCATAGTGCAGTAAGCAAGACACAAACGTTACCGCCAATTGTATTCTCTCGCATCGCCATCTGATTTTGCCGGACAATTGGATTGCACACGAACGCTAATAATGGGCTGTGATGTCCTCATACTAGACCGGCAAACTAAGCTAGCCTTAGGTTGTTATTTATGCCAGCCAGAATCCATCTATTTCTACGCTCACTTTGCTCGATATCATCCTCTTTCAGATTCTTCGCCGTACTTCCCAGCACCGAAAGGTCGTCGGTAGCATATCCGCAAACAACGTACACATGCCGCTCACTCCTTTTGGTTTACTTCACACGCCACTTCTTGAACTCTCCAGGTGACTCATCGCAATTGTGAACGAAAACTGCAAAGCAATTCCATAAATTCCGTAATCAGTTCGCCTTTTGTATTAGATCAAGGCGGAGGTACTAGAAGCACATATTACTAGCATGGCCCATCGGTAATATACACCGTTTGACGGTGACTAATCACTTGATAAGCGCGCCTCCTTGGCTGTACCATCCTCCATATTGTGTTGTTTCCAGCTGCGCTCAGGTTGTAACGTCCCGATCATGCCTCAACTGACATGTTCCACACCAGTTGGAAAATAAACCCGTTATTTTAAATCTTTATTTTATTTTTTTTGTTGCTTGTTAAACTACACTGAAAAGCTGCTGTGAATTCACCCACTCACTGGCCTGATTTCCCTCCGGATAATAGGGAAGATCTTGAGACTGACTTTCGTGGTCTCACTTTGGATGTACGCATACTTCCACAAATCCAAAACGCAACTGAAGTGTCGTGGCCAAGACTGGCGCTAACAAAACATCTCGGGGGATGATGATCCATGGATACCAACACAGGTAGCTCAGGATATGCACTCACTTCAGAGGTAAAAAGCCTTCTTTGGCCTATCTGCTTACTCTGTATGAGTTGTGGTGGAAAGTTACACTCACATTTCACCATACACATCAGCGTCAAGTGTAATTTGAAAATGCCCATTCAAAGGAAATTTAGCCGTGTATCTGGGTTGAACCGCCGTCGTTGCCCGTTGCATGCATATGGTCCTGATGGTCTTGTGGTACGAAGACATGTCGTCTGAATGTATTGATCAAGTTTGTAAAAATCAAATTGTCTGGTGGAACAAAGTCAAAACCACTAATGAGCACAGTGTTGTTAGAAGAGTACTGCCTGTTTGTTTTTGTTTTGCCAGATAATTAATGGGGTAGTGAAATCCGAATACTTCTGTGTCAGGTGATGATCACATCTTAGAAACCTAATTAACAAGAGCGCCCGTAGTGTCAGTTCGACCTCCGTAATATTTCTCGTAAAAACCTAGATACGATAACGGCAACCGTAAACAGCTGTTCATTGTTTGACTTCATAGCCATACGGTTCTTTATATCTTGGGTCAATAATTATTAGTCTGATGTAAGCGATATTTCGCTCTCGCGAACAGAAAGTTAACAGCGGAAACCCTTCAATGCATCTTGTTTGATATCTGGCCTGAAGTACGGAGTGCTATTATGTGGCGTGCTATATGAGCTGTTGATAGCTAGGAAGACAAGGCCAATGACTGGATTTGACGAAAACTGTGTTGGTGGCCAACCGCTGCGCACTGCCAAATCCTGCATTATTCGCCCGATCAGTTTTGCAAAATTGCAAGGCACCAGATTTCGGCATTTAATTGCCAGATGAACATATACACACGGTCTGGTACATTCTGTCTACTGACATGGTCGTGCAAATCCGAAACCATAGACTGAATAAGGGCGAGTGTCATTATTCACTTCAATGTTGAAACGAAAATTAAGTCTCAAAGGCATCCCGAAGAACAATACCAGCAACACGATACAGCACGGTTTCATTTCGATCAACGATTCTTTAGACTGCTCTGGTAGACCATTGATTCTGTTGTTCTAAATGCAGGCTTTCTGTGTCCGAACACGCATAGTTGGTCTTCTGTTCCATTTTGTGGTTCTCATTGGTTTGTGCTCGATGATTGATCTCAAGAATGGTCGAGATTTCTTCGTGAAAATGCTCCGACTCCTTATCAGACAATGCTAATATCTCACTTGGGCTGAGTGCGATCTAAAACACACACGGATTATTACACACGACTGAGGCCGGTTCAGTGGTTTTGTTTATCAACGTCGTCCATTCACCGTAAAGGCACAAGCTAAATAAGGGGCAGCAATGCACTTTGAATTCGCAGCGAAAAGCACTAAGCTTGTCTTTGAGAGAACTCATAAAATGTGCCTATACGTTGGGCTGAGGTCGTGTTCAACCTCGTGCGCATTCATTACAAAATCGGACGACTAATTTGGGGGATCTTTTGCATGGTTTCGTTTGTGCGCACATGTGACTATGAGGGGCTATTTTGGTTATTTCTTCATACAAAGTGCTTGTGCAGATCAGCTCAAATTGATATTATTGTAGACCACAGTCACTTAACGCATTCTAATTCCCGTGAATCCCGTTCTGGTTAATCGCTTGACCCGTTGGTGATCCTGACCAACCCAGAAAGGTCATTAAACATGTGACCCAGTTACCTTATTAATCACTGTCACGTACAAGCGGTCAAAAGTAATACTAAGAATAAAACTCATCTGTCAAGGGCGAGCGAAGAACAACCAATGAGCTATGTCTCCCAGCAAGAAACGGTTACTCCATTGGCAGTGATGTTTCGTTCGGAGCTGGTTATTCTTATAGAAATAAGCGGAAGCTCCAAGTGCCAGGTGTACTCAAAAATACCAACGGAATGCTCACAATGGAAACAGCGATTGTTGCATGGTAATGATTTATGCCTGGTTTGGACTCCGCCCAAATAAATCACGAACAACAAGAAGCTAAATTAATTTTGAACGCCAAATTGGAAACAAAATTAGGTGTCCGCAAGCACACAGTTATAATTTTGCTTGTTGGATTGTCGAGCAATTTCTTAAATAGCAATAAAAAAGCAGTTACAAAATGCAAGTTAAATGTGAGTTCCTGAGTTACCCGAACAAAATTACCTAACGCAAGCAATTTATGGGGCAAGCACAAAGCAGTTGTGTTGATGGGTCCCAGTGCATACAGCCGGATGTACCCTTTACACGGGCACTGAATAACTAAAGGACAGTCTTTAAAATCCACGTCCGTTGCGCATAGCCTAGTTTTAAGCTCTGAACATAGGGAAACTTACAATAGATTTGGGTCATTAATATTAAATTCCCAACTAAGTCGATGGTAGTCATTAAAAAAAGGTTTTACACGTGTGTCTTGTACGAACGTTTACACGGAACCTGTGAGAACCAGGACAAAATCCCCTCATTGTCTGACTTGCCTGACGAGATCACTGCATATTTCTTCTTGTGCTCTGGGAGTTAAGTACCTCTGTCCGGAAGGATAATTAGAAATTGTCTGTTCAGGCGCTGCTCAGTCCCTCCATGATACAAAATCAGTAATGGCATGGTGAGGATGGCGTTATTACTAATCTACCGCTCGAGGTCTGTCAAGATATGTACTAGGTCATTGTTTCAAGTGTCAAACGAAATTCTTTAATGACACTGGCGTGATGAATTTTTCGGCGTTTGACGGTACCAAAAGCTTAATGCGGTCTCAAATGAGTTTCTGAGGAAATTTTACATCTGCAAAGGGCTAGTACGTATTGCACATTTCACAGAGTTTGATAGAGTGCACACGTTTAGATTTCAGGAATCGTTTGCCGTAAGTACAATCAAAACAATTGCTGTCATCGCTTGATACGTCGACGCAATCGCGCATATGTAGATAAAAGCAATAGAGCAGTTTATCTGGTGTGAATATCCGGCTTTGAAGCAGTTACGGATGCCTACGTGGTGCTGATTTCAAGCATACACGAATGAGAAATTAGTGATTTTCTGCGTTCAATGTAGCTATTCACCCTGATAAATGCACTTTTGGTGTCTCATCATTTTGATGCCTTGGCTACATTGTTGATGGCAACGGTTTTAAACCCGATACAAACCGTCCATCCCCTTTAGTAATTGCGCCATCATCAACCAATCTACAAGAACTGCGCTCAGTTCTAGGAGCACTTCCGTACTACTCCCGTTTCATTCCTACCTCCGCCAAGCATGCAAGTTGACTTTTTGATGTTATATCTGCCAATCAATTTTCTTGGTCCTACAACCATGAAAAGACGTTGCGAGTACTGCCTGGTTTTTTTCAGACTTGAGCTGCTTTGAAGCCATTTTCCGCCGAACATCATTCGATGATCATTACTGATGCTTCTCCCACTGGAATAGGAGCAAATCTTTGAACAGTGTAGTAGACCAGTGATCTGCATTTCCCGTCAACTTTCAAAAGCCGAACGTGGATATTCTCAGACTCAATGAGAAGCATCTGCGGTATACTGGGCTGCAAACGGCTCCATAATTATCTATTTGGACCACTTTTACTGATCACGAAGATTTGAAGTTCTTGTATCATCCAACCAAATCTCTGGAGAAATCATCTGCCGTTGTGGTGCAACGGTGGGTTAGTGCACTGAGTTCGTACACCTACATAATTGTTCATCGCAGTGCGAAAATGACTCCCCATGCCAATTTCTTGTCAAGATTACTATCATGCGGCCCAGATTCAAACAATTTAAATTGTTTGTTGATCCAACCATTACCAGTCAAGCGGGATGCGCTTGTTGCTGATAATAAAAGTTATTTCGCCCCCATTTTTTCTGCACTACGCCGTGGCTGAACGCAGCAGAAACGACGCCGGTTTCTTGCTTTTTACTGTCGCCTCGAAGGCTGTCCGTTACTCCGGATTCTTTGTTGTGTTTTGAGGATAGAGTTATCATTTTACCGATTCAGCGAGCGGCCAGTCTTGCAAATTTGCACTCTGGTCAGCTGAGTGTGGACAAAACGAAATCCCTTGCACGTTTGTCATGCTGCTGGCCGGAACTGCATACTGCTAAGAATTGTGTCAAATGTGTACATACGATTTTTAACAAGTCTTCAAAGTGGTATCCGTGGACCGTTACTTGTTAAGCATTTCAACCAGTTCATACCGACTACTGTGGTCTTGTTATCGGTAAATACTATGCTTCAATTTTTATTGACGCATATTCACGTTGGCCCGAAGTTTTCCTTACTACGTCTCCAAGTGCCGAATTCACTCAGCAAGCATTGAGGAAAGTGTTCAGTCAATAGAATTAGGATGGAGACGATCAAGGTAAGCGAATTTTTGTTTAAAAAATGATTATCGCACGCCTGAGTGTCCCATGACCATTTGTGCTATAGTCGTTCGAGCAGAAACTAGACGATGGTTCCGGCAATTAAATGAAGTTATCATTACTCGGCGTTCACGAAGAGATGAAATCGATAAGAAATGCGGACAAGATGATGCTTCTGATTTCCCAAACCTGGAAGGAATCCGAGTTTGTAATATTCAAGAGGTGGACCGATGGACCGGACTGGAGAAAGCTTATAAGCGTCTGAGTTGCCTCAGATGGTTGATGACTTGTTTGGAAGTTCGTTAGGCAAATTTTCAACGTAAACGAAAACAAATCTACTGAACTAGCTGTTATGCACGCAACTTAGGCGAGTTCTATAAACCTACCAGCCGATTGGATTCAACAATTGGGCCTCGAGAATTTGGAACATATCCCATTCAATATGATAAACAGAAGAGAACCAGTTCATTCCATACCCGAGAATAACTGTCACCATCTAACGTTTCTACAAATGAGTAGCTCAGAAAAACAAATTTTGCAAAATGACTGAAATTTTCGCTCAAGAACGTATCATTCGACCCGCCAGTCAACATGTGGCGTGGTCTCATTTACTGATGGATGAACCAGCCTTAGTTCAAAGTTGGGGTTATTCGTATAGCTGATCGAAGATTCCGAACTCTCCGGCTAACCGGAAGATTCCAGGGCTGATTAATTTCCGCATGATGTTGCGCGGATGAGCAGTATCAATTTGCTTCACTTGCAAGGTGAGATTTCGATTGGAAAATATTTTTTCACCGCGGCGGTTCAAATTACATCGGTAGCCAAATACCCGATAAGTTTGAAACGCCTCTTGCTGAATGTAAAATTTCATTACCAAAAGCACTGCTAATATATTTTATAAAATAATCAACTTTGAGTTATTTTATTAGCATTCATTTGCCTATCAGTCGCTGTTTCGTTTCAGCTCACTGCTAACAATTGCCACCGCCGTGGGTAAGACATAGTAACTTAGAGTTTGACGAATGATCCCGATAGGTTCGTAAGATCGTATATGGATAACTTAATACACAGTCTGCAGAAACCAGATGCTACTGACGCATATTCTGCGTTACCAAGACCCGTCACAGCTACACACTCAGTCCAGTAACTTCTCCACTTTAGTGGTCTTTCTCAGCCTTCGCCATCCCAGGCACGCATTGCAGGCCTCCGCGTTCACCCAGATGAATACTTTCAACCAAATGACTCCCGAATTGCTTTTGTTTTCAAAGCTTAATCTATTACCTCATTTCCCATGAGCTTTGATCGTTCACTGTACGCGGCATGCCTTTTCGCTTCGACTTTTAACCGAGTTGACCGATTACCAGACTGGGGGCAACACATGCAGGCAACACAGTAGTAACTGCCAAACGGGATCCACTGTGGACTAGGAGCAATAACCTTGGTGAAGAAACTGTTCACGGAAGCAAATGTGTGCTCTAAACGGTCTGGAAATTATGGGTACATACTTTCATGAACCTTATCCAAATCTGCCAGTTGGTTCGTTCTTTTGAGCATTCTTGGGCTAGGCAAGCGTGTGCTCTTGGTGTCACTGCATCGGAAACCTATCAGTGCTCGAATCAACCCAAAACGTCCACCAATATTTCGATCATCATATTCCGATTCGCACACCCCCGGTTTCTGCATTGGCAATACGCAGTTTACGTGCGTGAGATCATAGGAGCGAAATATCTGAAAGTGCTCTCCTATGTGGAACCCTCGGTTTAATCTACGTGTCGCACACGTAGGGATACTGGCGCACAAAACCAATGAACAGAAACCCAGCTACATACGAAATTTTAAATGAATTCAACGTACAACCGCCAAGTTGCTCATTAGGCCAAGAAGGGATTTATCGAGGGGT